AAAGGTTGGCAGTTCAAACCAACCCAGTGGCACCACGGAAGAAAGGCCTGGCAATCTGCTTCTGTGAAGATTACAGCCAAGAAAACCCTCTGGAGCTCAGCTCTACTCTGTAACACATGGAGTCCCCACAAGTTGGAACAGATTTGAAGGCAATGGGTTGGTTTGGGTTGAAGCTTCCTGATGGGTAGAGTTTCCAGATCCGCATATCTCACCCTGCAATCTTCTCTTATAACCAAGTACAAGCATCCTGGGATTCCTTCATGATGTTATAAACCACGGTCATCTATAGCAGAGCCTCCTAGACAGGTATCCCACTGCATTTAGAGCCCAGTCTTACTCATCACTGTAACCTCTGAAACTGCTAAAAATTTTATCGGAGATTTGATTGAAGGAATGCAGGTATGTGATGCTGCCATTGACAGTCAGAGTTTACCATTTGAAGATGACCTCAAAATTGGATGACTCAAGTAATTTATAATTTTGATGAAGCGTGAATTCCATGGTTTGTAAGAAAGAATTAGGTAGTTCATGAGTCAATCTCACTCACCGCTTACATTTTTCATTTCAATAGGACTTTACTGGTCTGACTTACCCTCTTAATATAACTACTCTTTTTTTTTCTTTTTGGTGAATCTGTCTTTTTGTGTGTGTTAGATGAAAGTTTGAAGAACAAATTAGTGTCTCATTAAACAACTAATACACGTATCATTTTGTGACATCGGTTGCCAACCCCATGGCATGTCAACACTGTCCCTTCTCGACCTTGGGTTCCTCATTACCAGCTTTCCTGTCCCCTCCTGCCTTCTAGTCCTTGCCCCTGGGCTTGTGTGCCCATTTAGTCTTGTATTCATGGTTGAGCTATGTTTATTATTGTTTGTTTTATGGGCCTGTTTAATCTTTGGCTGAAGGGTGAACCTCAGGAGTGACTTCAGGACTGAGCTAATCGGGTGTCCAGAGGCCATATTCTTGGGGTTTCTCCAGTCTCTGTCAGACCAGTAAATTTGGTCTTTTTTTGTGTGTGTGTGTGTGAATTGGAATTTGTTCTACATTTTTCTCCAGCTCTGTTCAGGGCCCTCTATTGTGATCCCTGTCAGAGCAGTCGATGGTGCTCGCCCGGCACCATCTAGTTGTGCTGAACTCAGGCTGGTGGAGGCCACGGTAGTTGTGGTCCATTAGCCCTTTGGACTAATCTTTCCCTTGTGTCTTTGGTTTTCTTCATTCTCCCTTGCTCCAGATGGGGCGGGACGGGTGGAGTATCTTAGATGGCCGCTCACAGGCTTTTAAGACCCCAGACGCTACTCACCAAAGATGCAGAACATTTTCTTTATAAACTGTGTTATGCCAATTAAGCTAGATATCCCCTGAGATGATGAATATAACCACTCTTGGTAAGGACCTGAGAGGGCCCTGTGTCTTTTTACTTAATTATATTGTACTGCAGTCGAAGGAAAAAGTTGATGGGTTTTGTATTGTGCCAAAAAATCCCGCAGGTCTAGTTTGCAGTCCCTTGACATGACATTGATCAATAACTCTTTCTTTACAATAAACACGCACGCACATACCTTAAGGAATAATATTTGGCTTCCCTTGCTTAATTTCCTCACCCAGATACCACGCATATGCACTTAAACAACTGCATGCAAGCACACACGTGCACACGCACACGCAAAAAGAAACCATATTCCTGGAAATATCTCAGTGCTCAAAGATGACAGGTGAAGAGCAGTATTGACACACGCGCGCGCACACACACGCACGCGCGCGCACACACGCACACACACACACACACGCATGTATTGCTGCTACTTTACTTTCAAAGAAAATGCCCAGTAGTCAGGGTGATGTCTTCACATATACACTCTGGCAAGTTGCAGAGTTATTATTTTTACCAAAGTTGGGAGGCTTCATGACACGTAAACTAGAGGTTTGCTTCATCTCGGCAATGGGCATTCAGAGTCAGGTGTCAACATTGTCTATGTCATTTAAGGGTATGTTTTAGGTTGTGGGGCTGGGGAAAGGGTCAGTAGAATAAATAATTCTTCTGGTCTTTCAACTTAGAGCCCTAGTATTTTGGGGGCATATCTCTGTTTAACAGTGACCCTTTTAAAAACAAAATGACATTTTCCAATTGGTAGCCACTAGCAAAAGAAAAACGCAAAACAAAACAAAACAAAAATGCTAATAGCATTGTTTGTAACAAAACAAAACAAAACAAACAAGCACATAATTTAAATATCAATCAGTAGCAAAGGTCTGAATAAACCCATATATCCATTTTATGGAATTTTCATGTAACCACTAAAATAATGCACTTGATCAGTAAGCATTAACATGGAAAGATCTCTACACTGATTTACAGAAGTCAAGAAATCAAAGGCATGTATACAATGATAGCACTTTTATAAAAAATCCTGTGCCCCAAGGCCTCCACCGGACTGAGTCCAGTACAGCTAGATGGTGCCCGGCTACCACCACTAACTGCTCTGACGAGGATCACAACAGAGGGTTCTGGACAGAGCTGGAGAAGGATGTAGAACATAATTCTAACTCACAAAAAAAAAAAAAAAAAGACCAGATTTACTGGCCTAAAGGAGACTGGAGAAACCCCAAGAGTATGGCCCCCAGACACCCTTTTAGCTCAGTGGTGACGTTATCTCTGAGATTCACCGTTCAGCCTGCGAGTGGACAGCCCCCTAAAACCAAATGGGACTAATGAGGTACAGTAGTCCAGTGACAGGGGCCAGAAGGCAGAAGGGGACAAGGAAGCTGGGGATAGGGAACCCAAGGTTGAGTAAGGATATTGTTGATGTGTTGTGAGATTGTTAACCATTGTCATAGGGCAACATGTGTAGTAACTGTTAAATGAGAAACTATTTTGTTCTGTAAGCCTTCATCATAAGTGAGAATAGCAGCACAATGGAAGAGCGTAGTCAATGTCACTGAACTGTGCATGTAGAAATTTTTGAAATGGTGTATCTTTGGCTATGTGTATTTTCACCAAAAAAAAAAGGTTGAGAAGTTAGAGGGTTGACATGTTGTGGGGCTGTTAACCAATGTCATAAAACAATATGTGTACTACTGTTTCATGAGAAACTGTTTGTTCTGTAAGCCTTCACCTGAACTACAATAAAAAAAGAAAAAAAGCCTATGCCCAATGCTTTGAATACTATACTATGCATTGTACTACACATACAATGTAAAATAAATATAAAATGCAAAATAAAAGTATATACAACAATCTATAACAGTGACTTCCTCTGACAAAGCAGGCAGAGAACAAGGTTGGGGGAGAGGTGTTATCCAGAATATATTTCAACCATATCGTTACTATCTCTTTCTTTCTGTCTTTATTCTTTTTTTCAGTGAGACTGTACTTCTATATCTCCAGTGTAACTACAACTTCGAAAATGGAAAATTCCATATATTTTAATCTCATGACAGTAGTAGAATGATATTATTTTCAAAAACAAAGAAAAACATCTCTTCCAGTCTCACATCTCAATTCAACCATTAGCATTTTGGTGTAATTCCTACTACTGTTGACTGAAATCATACTATGCATATACATATAATTTTTTGATTTTAAAATTTTTCATTCATTATGAGGTCCCTCATAGTCTTCATCATCTTGCTCACTTTAATGGATGTAATATTCCACTGAGCAGAATATTTATACTTTAATTTAATTAATATATAATAAAGTGCATAATTTATATTTTAATTTTATAAATATAATTTTAATTTATACTTTATATAATAATGTATTACTACATACTTTTTACTTAATTAATTACGTTTTTTCTAATTTTTTAATACAATGAAGTAATTCAGTAGGTGAGAAACATCTCAGAAGATTTTTTTGTCTATATCTTAAAAAGAGGGTCATTAAAAATGTTTGAACGTTTTTAATGACTCTCCACGTATATGTTTTTAGGAGAAGTTCTGCCACCTCGTCTTGGGTGGTAAGGGCAGGAACGCATTGTCCTGAAGGTGTATGCAATACACAGCAACACATTCATGTGGCCCAAAATGGCATTTTGTTACTCATCCAACCAACCAACCCATTGTCATCAAGTCAATTCCAACTCATAGTGACCCTGTAGAATGCAGAAGAACTGCCCCCGTAGGGTTTCCAAGGCTGTAAATATATACAGAAGCAGACTGCCACATTTTTATCCCATGGAGTGGCTGGTAAGTTCGAACTGCAGACCTTTTGGTTGGCAGCCGAGCACTTTAACCACTGTGCCACCAGAGCTCCTTTCCTGTGTGACCGAGAGAGCAGCAAATAACTCACTCCCACGTTCTGCTCTTCCCGAAGAACTGGATCAGGAGGCACCCTCCAAGCCATTTCAAAATTCTAACGGCTTCTGAGCAGAGGCAAAGCCAGAACCAAATTCTGTGGTCCCACCTCCAGGCAGGGTTAGTGATCAAGGCAGAGGAAGTGGGGAAGAAAGAGACAAACAAAAACTTGTATATTGCCCCCACCCCCGCCTTGCTCAACTTACCACTATTGTTGTTGTGTCTTCTGAGTCAATTCTAACTCACAGCAACCCTGCAGGACAGAGTAGAACTGCCCCACAGGGTTTCTCAGGCTGTTATCTACATGGGTCTTTCCTCCTGCAGAGCCGCTGGTATGTTCATACCGCCAACCTTTTAATTAGCAGCGAGCGCTTAACCATTGTGCCACTAGGGTTCCTTTTCAACTTACCATAGCGACAACAAATTAAATAACTTACCTACTTCCCAAAGAATTTCTGTATCCCAACCCCAAATAGGAGTTATTCTGCAGAGATGGGAAGAAGGGCACGCAAACTTAACCTGAAAACTACATTTGCCTTTGTCGTAAAAGATCAGTTTACGTATTTAGGCGGTTCACTGTAGCAGATCAGCAGGAAGGAGCTAGTGGCCATGGGGAAGCTCATTGAAACAGATTCTCTACTAAATCACAAAACAGGTTCAGAGTTGGAGAGGCCTCCTCTACAAGGCCAGTGTCTACTTACCATTTGTGTAAGGGTTGACGGTCTTTTTATTTGTCATTACACGTGCTGTGGCATTGTTTACCTACGTACATAGAAAACTCAAATGAGCACACATCCCAGGGCCAGCCCACAATACAATTAGTTGCATGCATTATGACTGTGATTACTTACTTAAAAAAAAAACAAAAAACTAAAAATGCATTTTAATTTATAAAAGGCAGAAGGTGCATAACAAAAATCATACATTTTTATAATTACATTTACTTCATAACCATTTAAACTTACAAATCATTTCAATAAAGCAATGTCATATCATTTAAACGTTTAATAAAGAGACAGGAAAAGCAAATTAAAAGATACTGCATAGTTGAAGATTTAAAAAGCATGCATGTACTCCATGGGAACACAGAAACAATAAATATTTTTTTTTTTTTTTTTACAGAAAATAAAGTTCATATGAAGGAGCATGCAGTGGAGCAGAGGAGGGAGGAGACAAGGTACAGGGGGGACGTAAAAGTCAGAAAAAGGGACAAACAAGTTTTAGCCGTGTGCAACACTTTAGAAGGGAGGAACCATCGGGGAAGCAACATCTAGCATTCAACGCTTGGAACAGGAGCCTTTGACATCGCAAGAATTAACAAATCATTCAAGCTTTAAAGTCACAGCTAACGAAAGGATAGAAGAGAGGGTGCATTGTTTAACACAATATGGAGTTAACAATCTGAGTAAGATGTGCACCGGTCAAATCTCGTCCACTCAGTGCCTCTCAGGCTAGCTTAGAACGTACACTCAATTACAGGCGTACCAATATCCAAAAAAATAGAGCATCAAGAAAACTTAATACGACAAGTCAAAAAAATTCACGTGGTAGATATATATATGTATAGAGATATATCAGCACTAAATACGTGAAACGGCAGATGGACTTTTCACCACTTACCATTCACCACCATCGCCAGCATGGGTTTGTATACAGTTACCATGGTTACTGAGAGTTTGGTGAGGGGCCTAAGCGTTACCGCCGAAGGGGGAAAATGAAAGGCAAAATATGCAACATCTTACTCCAAAGACTAAAGCATTTTTAACTGGTTTTTTTTTTTTTTTTTTTTTTTTAAGTTTTAACAAATACGACCCTGTGGCAAGGTTGAGGGAGATCCTGTGGTAGAGCTGATTCTGAGTATTGGCATTTTGGTATTTATTTATTTTTGATGACGAGGGACCAGATATCGAACAGGAAATCCTGTTTGGTTCTTCACTTTGTTATCAAAAGAATAAAATGATTCAAACTGGCTTCTTAAAAAAAAAAAAAAAAAAAAGAAAGGTTTAATAACAAAGGCCTCCCATTTTTTTAAAAAAAAAAAAACTTTCTTTTTTCTTTCAAAAGCTATTTGTCTCATAATTTGGTTTAATTTGCAAACCACTATGGATCCCTCGTCAACCCTGCAGTGGAAATAAAAATTAAAAATAAAACGAAACATAAAAACCAAAACCCAACAAACCAACCAAAAAAACTCCTCTGTATTTGGTTTCGTGTGTGTAACGCTGACTCTATTGTCAGGAACCTACTGCACCCATTGGTTACAAAAGACGGAAAGAAAATAAAACGACTTTCCGATGAACCTTTCTCGTGTCTCACTTTTGCCATCCACCTCTCAGCAGTCATAAGAGTAACATAAAGTAAAATTAAAAAAAAAAAAAAAAAGTAAGGCCAGTTCTCCTTTTTATATCTAAGTATATCTATATAAACAATGAGAAGGGAATAGGGTCACATACAAGACACCGGTGACACATCTGAAACAGCGAATGAGCGTGAAGCAGACATTTATAAAAAAGATGAAAAGGAAAATATTTTGAACATGCACCTCGATTTTACGGCCCTCAACCACCGTGCCGTGTAATTTCTCCCTCGCCCTGTCCGCATCGGCACTACTTTCGAAAGTTACGAAACCAAATCCCTGCATGCAGGAGGGAGAAGGGAAAACAACATGCAGATTAATATTTCAATCCACGACCACTTTGTAACGTTCTCTCGCTTTAATTTCTACTTCTTGTCCTGGCTTCAGTTCTGTAACATGCAAATTAGAGAAATTATAAGAGTACTAAGATGTGCAATCAGTAAGCAATAAATGTGAACAAGGTTTTTCTTGTTTCTTTTTTTCTGTTTTACTGTCACCAGTTAGCTGTAAGCCCTAAAGAATTCAAAGAAGGATACTAAAAATACCTTTCTAAATGTCACTACAGAAGAACATAAATCTAACAAAAAGAAAATGAGATCAAAATAAATTTACAGTGTCTTCACAGAGAATAAAATGAAATAACAAGGAGGAGGGGAGAGGGAACCACTTTCTCGACATGCAAATTAAAAATAAAGTAAAAGAAAATAAACGTGTGCACAGAACTCACAAATGAATGCCAAAATCCTCTAACATTTCCTACAGAGACATGCCGTGTGGTTTTAAGAACATTTCTTCTTCATGCAATTTTAGGGTTATTCAAATTGGTCAATTCTACAGCCTTTACTTCTCAAAAACAAAAATCAAAAGCCTAAAAAAAGGAAAGACCTTTTTTTTCAATAATACATCTTAAATTCTCTGATCTAATAAACAAACAAAAAAGAATCACATGAAATGAATAGAAATAAACTCCAATTGATTAATAATGCAAACAGTTCAAGTAACGTTTCTGTGTGAATTATCCCCCGGCCCCCGGTAACATACATGCCTCTGAATTCGTAAACTTTTGGTGCTGTCTTATCAACCAAAAAGGGAAATGTGTATACAGATTGTAAAGTTCTAAGACATTATGTTGGTATTCATATTGACAGGTAGAAAAATAAAGTGGCTCTGTTAGGAGAATGTTACTGAGAATAACACTCGAAGCACTTTCTCTTTTACTAATAGATGATGTACCCTTTCTTTGCTTCACCACTGCAACATTTTGCTTTTAATATTTCAGCCTCACAAAAGCCCCACTAAACCTCATATTGTCAAAATCCATCTTTTTCTTCACTGACATTGTTCCTAAGAAGAGTACAGAAAATACGACACATTATTTTTAAAACCCCTAAAAATATTTGTACATCTTGTTCAGCAATATACACCAACCTTTGGAACAATTCCAGTGTAAATTTGCCCAGCTCCTTCTGGTTTTCACAGTGTAAACGAGGTGAAATAGTGCAATTTTGGGGACCCCTGCTTCCGGTTGGGTAAACCTTACGTAAAGGTAATTATTGGCTTTCAATTCAGGTTAGTTGGGGCAGGATGCTAGTTCTACTAGTAAAACAAACAGTAATTACAAATAACCCACAATCATAACCCACTGATGTTCATTCCCAATCTCTCACCAGGTTGCTTTTGTAACCTCCAAAATGAATAATGTTTTGGGAGATATCACCCAACGATCTGGGGAAGTGAGAACTTCACAGTAGTGAAAATGGACCCATCCACTGAGGACACAGTGGGTGTATTCAAACTAGAATGGGTGATCATTTAACAGGATTCTATACAGAACAATTAAGTTTCTTTACTTTGAAGGATTAGACTGAATTACTTTATAAAATCAGATCAGTAGTGACAATCTGTGATTAGAATGAGGCCTGCATCACTTCATTAATACTAGGCTACATACCCCATTACGGAAGGGTTCGACTTAATCTTGAAAATCACCATACGCCCATTTTAAAATCAAACCAGGTGCCTTGGAGTTGATCTTAACTCATAGCAATCCCGTGTGTGTCAGAGCAGAACTGTGCTCCGCAGGGTTTTCAATGGCTGATTTCTTAGAAGCAGATCACCAGTCCTTTCTTCTGAGGCACCTTGGGGTGAACTTGAACTTACAACCTTTTGGTTAGCAGCTGAGCATGTTAACCATTTGCACCATCCAGAGACCCCCATATTAGGTACTCAAAATACTTACTCCCTGAATAGTTTTGAAATAACAGCTCTTCAATGGGCAGAAGACAGAATTTCGGAGCTTTGTTTTATTTGATGGCTCTAATTCTTGGCCAGTGGGTCCCAAGCTTAGTTGCATGTGAGAAGGAACTGTGTAGCATATCAAACACTTAGATTCTTGGGCCCTGTCCCAGGTTTACTGAATCAGAATCCGAGCGTGGAGCTCAGAAATCTATTTGCTTGCAAACCTGCTGGTGTGGCCCAGCGATTGTATTTCCATGGTCTCTCATATCACTGTTGTTAGTAAGTGCCAGTGAGTTGATTCTGACTCATAGCAACCCTGTGTACAACAGAATCAAACACTGCCTGGTCCTGCTCCATCCTCACAATGGTTGCTATGTTTGAGCCCACTGTTGCTGCCACTGTGTCAATCCTTCTCGTTGAGGATCTTCCTCTTTTTTGCTAACCCTCTACTTTACCAAGCATGATGTCCTTCTCCAGGGACTGGTCCCTCCTGATAACATGTCCAAAGTAAGTGAGATGAAGTCTTGCCATCCGTGCCTCCAAGGAATGCCCTGGTCACACTTCCTCCAAGACAGATTTATTTGTTCTTTTGGCAGTCCATGGTATATTCAATATTCTTTGCCAATACCATCATTCAAACACATCAGTTCTTCTTCCGTCTTCCTTTATTCATTGTTCAGCTTTCACATGCATATGAGGCGAATGGAAATACCAAGGCTTGGATCAGGCATACCTTAGTCCTCAAAGTTACATCTTTGCTTTGCTCATATCACAAAGCACCACCAAAAGACTGTTTCAGTGTTTTATAATAAGCATATTATTATATTGCTGATTTCTATAGAGCAACCTACTGAGCAGGGTGAGTTCCTGGGGTGAATCTCTGTCTAACTCAGGTATTTAGAGCTCAGAGGTAGAGGTAAGGACAAAATCGCATAGCAGCAGTTTCTTAACAATCTACTCGTCTTTACCCATAAGCCTAACTCCCTTGCACTGATAGCTGCATCTTACATTTAATAAGAAATAAGAGAAACAAAGATGTCACTTTGATGACTAAGGTGCATCTGACCCCAGCTATGGTCTTTTCAACTGCTTCATATGCATGTGAATGTTGGACAATGCTAAAGGAAGACAGAAGAGGAACTGATGTGTCTGAACTGTGGTGTTGGCAAAGAATATTGAACATACGGTGGACTGCCGAAAGAATGAACAAACCAGTCTTAGCAGAAATACAACCGAATGCTCCTTGGAAGGGAGAATGGCGAGACTTCGTCTTGCTTACTTTGGAAACGTCATCAGGCAAGACCAATTGCTAGAAAAGGACATCACGTTTGGTAAAGTAGAGGGTCAGCTAAAAGAGGGAAACATACATATATGCATATACATACATACTGCACGTGTATGTATAGGTGTATATACACACATACATACACACACACAAACACCCGTGGGCCACACAGTCATCCTCATTTAGTGTTTAGTTGTGTGCATCAGGGGACTGTCCCCATAAAGAATGGCCAAGAGGTGACTTCCTAGCTCTTAAAGGACCACCTATTTCCTCTCTGCCTCTCCAGCACCCACTGATGGAAACAGGGTCATAACAATGGTTCAGGTTTCTCAACCACTAAGAAGCAAATGTCCTTTGAAGAAGGCCCTGGTGGCGCAGTGGTTAAGAGCTTGGCTGCTAACCAAAAGGTCTACAGTTCGAATCCACTGGTCACTTCTTGGAAACCCTATGAGGCAGTTCTACTCTTTCTTATAGGGTCACTATAAATCAGAATCGACTCGACAGCAGCGAGTTTGGTTTGGTTTTCCCATAAAAGTTAAGGTTAAGTATGAAAAATATCTGTGTGAGCCACTGCCCCCATTTAGCAGCTCCCAAATGGACCATCTGGATAACATTCCAGATAACTCTGCCATCAGCTCCAACACCTGTAAGACCGGTTCTTTCAGAGGGAGCAAACCTACAGAGAGAGGCTATTTTTGATGTTTTCTAACCCAACAAAAAACCAAAAAGCAGCTTAACAAAGTTTGGCTCGTTATGCGGCAAATTTAAATGGTCTTCTTCCTGAACTCCCCAGAGACAGGCTAATCATGGGAATGATGGAAGAAGTCTTAAAAATAGCACCGCCATTGTACTTTCAAAATAGCAAGCAATATTCTCCTAATGTCCCAAAACCACTCTCGAAAGGAATTAAATAGCTTTCTCCAACTGGCAAAAGTTACAAAACAAAATGTAAATTATTATTTTTTTTTTTAAAAAAAGAAAGCTTTCAAGGCAGTGGTACTACAGACAAGATGCCGGGTTAGAAGAAAATCGGCCAACGTTCTGGGTCATCATCTACAACTTTGCCAAGAATACATCAAGCCTGAATGAAAAGGATTAGGTGGGACCCATTTTTCGCTTCATGCACTTTGCTTTGCAGGTATAGAAACAGTCCCTCTAATGATTTTCATACAAGCAGCAGAAAGAAAGTTCACTTTCCCGTCCCCCAAGCCCAGAGGTCAAACTGCTGACGTAGTACAAGCATGCTTGTGTAATAGCTGAAGTTATAAAACAATGACAAGGTCCTTGAACTAGCAGAACTAGAGAGTATAATGGGTTGGTTTTTTACTCATCTGGCATATGGCAACGTCACTGTGGCAGCGGAAGAGAGAGTACCGGAATTTTCTCCCTACAATTTGATCAGCATCTTCCTATTCAGTTAAATACTGTCTACTTACTCAGGAAAGAGGAGCCTGCAAACTGTCCCACGAATGGTGCATTCACACGTGGGCTTTGTGGGGAGGAGGTGGCTGCTACATCCAAGACAGCCCCCTTCAGTGAAACCAGTTTTGCTCAGTAGTCCTCCTGGCTACTGCCTATCCCAGACTGCCTGGGCAAGGGAAGCAGTGGGGCTAAACCCAGCTCCCTGAGTATCCGGGGTATCTGGTGGGCTCTCCACATCCACTTTTACAGTCCCGGGGTGCATGAGGGGAGCTTGAAGTCTCTGCCCATCTCAGGAGTGGAAAATTTGCCGTGTCTAGAGCCAAGCTTTGTTAAGCTGCTTCGTCTTCTTTCCTTTTTTTGGAAAGTGTTCATCTTCTGGTTGCCAAGGTCAATATCCTAAGGGAGCCCTGGTGACGCAGTGGTTGAGGTGCTCGAGTGCTAACCGAAAGTTTGATGGTTCAAATCCACTATCAGCTCCACAGGAGAAAGATGTGGCAGTCTGCTTCCGTATTGATTCACACCCTTGGGAGCCCAATGGCGTTGCTATGAGCCAGAATCGACTCCGCAGCAGTGGGTTGGATTTTTTTTGAAGGTCAATATCCAGGTGACTAGGTGACGCAAATAGGTAAGCACTAGACTACTAACTAAAAGGCTGGCAGTTCCAATCTACCCAGAGGCACCCTGGAAAACAGGCCTGGCAATCCGCTCCTGATAAGCCACAGCATGAAAACCCTAAGGAACACAGTTCTATTCTGCACACGTGGTGTCACATGAGTCAGAATTGACTCCACAGCAAAGGCTTAAGGTCAATATCCACATCCATTTTTTAAAAAAATTTATGACATAGAATTAAATGGTTTTTTTTAATCAACCAATCCATTAAGAAAATTATTTCATACGGACTTAAAAAAGAATGCCTGTCTTTTTTTTTTTTTTTTTTTTTATAGCTTGCTGGCAAAGTTAGAGCAATAACCATCTTTCGGCCTTACAGAAAATGCACATAAACCAGAGCAGATTTGCTCTTGGCAATTTTTTCACATTTGCTTTTATAAGAAACATGTTTTTGATTGATGGTGAAATTTTATTTATTATATATTTAATGAACCCATGTGAAAATATTTTAAGTTTCATAAAAATGTATTTAGTTAAGTTTGTTTGTTTTAAGATGGAACTTCTGACCTGAGGAGTTCTTTTAACCCACCACTGCAGTAAACCTTCTTTACTTCCATAAGCCTATATCCATGCAGGAAACCCTGGTGGTGTAGTGGTTAAGTGCTATAGCTGCTAACCAAAAGGTCAGCAGTTTGAATCCACCAGGTGCTCCTTGGAAACTCTATGAGGCAGTTCTACTCTGTCCTGTAGGGTTGCTATGAATTGGAATTGACTCAACAGCAATGGGTTTGGTTTGATTTATATCTGTGCATACCTATTTTGCTAGACTCTAGACTCTAGCTACAGGGTCACTATGAGTCGGAATCTACAGGTTTGGTTTGTTTTTTTTCCTAGCTTAATATTCATATTCTTTTTCAGGATTGATCTCTGTTATCACCCAGATCTATGGATATGCCTAAGGCACTGGTTGTCCTTCGGGAGATTCTGATTGGGCTCTTGAGTTTTGTATGAGTTCAGGTAGAAAGGGGATATGCGAGCAGAAGTGAAAGGAGAAAAAACGAGCCCAGACAGAGCAAAACCACTGTTGTGGATTGCACTGTGTCTCCCAAAAAAGATGTGCTGTAAATCCTAACCTCTGTGCCTGTGGTTTATAATCGCATTTGGGAAGGGGTTGTCTGTTACGTTAATAAGGCAGGATTAGTGTAGGGTGTGCCAATCTCTTGCGTGATATGAAAAGAGCAGATTAAGCAAAGCAGAGAGGGGGAAGACAGATGCCCAAACACATGGAGATCTCCAAGGAACCAGGAAGCAGAAGCTGAAGAGACAAGGACCTTCCCCCAGAGCCGACAGAGAGAGAAAGCCCTCCCCGAGAGCCAGCGCTCTGCCTTCAAACTTCTAGCCTCCTAAACTGTGAGAGAATGAATTTCTGTTTGTTAAAGCCATCCACTTATGGTCTTTCTGTTATACCAGCACTAGGTAACTAAGACAATCACTAAGTGAGTAAAGGGGTATTTTGCACTCAGGAAAAGGAAGGCTTAACATTTGTCTAAAACAGGAAGACACTGTGGGTATAATTTTAAGGACAAGTCTAGAAGGTCTGTTGTTAGTTGCTGTTGAGTCGATTCCAATTCATGGCGACCCCATGTGTGCAGAGTAGAACTACTCCATGGAGTTTTCAAGGCTGTGACCTTTTGGAAGCAGATCACCACGCCTGTCCTCCAAGGGACCTCTGGGCAGGTTTTGAACTGTCATCCTTTTGGCTAGTAGTTGAGCACTTAACTGTTCATGCCACCTACGGACTCCATTCTGGAAGGTTTGTTAAAACAGACTGCTGGGCTCCCCTTTCAGAGTTTCTGAACCATGTTCAGTACATCTGGGTTGGGACCTAATAATTTGCATTTCTAACAAGCTCCCTGGTGATCTCCATGATACTGATCTTGGGAACCCCACTAAGACAAGCAATGATCTAGAAGATTCTTCGGAAGAGTTTGTTTGTTTGCTTGTTTCTTTCCAACATATTTCTGTTTTGAATGTACTGGAGCCTCTCTGGAGAGTTCCCAAGTTTTACAAACACGGTTAGCTCTAGGAAAATCTACTTAAAAATTGGTTTCCTGGTAGGGGGCGGGGTGGAGAACTCAGAGCAATGGCAAATCGCAAAATGTGGATTGGTTAACACACTAGTGAATAAAATTATATTCAAAAGGTTGGTGTATACGAGAATTTTCTCCCCCTGAAACCCAGGAAAATAACTGCACTTTATTAATACAGAATAATCACATATTTACCTGCTCATGAGACTATCAACTCACTTTTTAATATAAAGAACATAATTATCACTGAAAAACAAAAATGTAGCAACATCATTATTTTTTTAAGCACGGGTAATTTTCGTCTGGAAACCTGAGATATATATACATAGCAGTGACTTTAAATTATCCCCTCATACTTTTTAAACGGAGTCCAATGCATTTCCCGCCATTTTGGAAACCGGACGGTGTCCCGACCGAACTCCCCACTGAAGCGTATTTTCACAGTGTGCTGATTAAAGCCGTGCAGTTGTTTTCCCTTACCCACAACAATGTAAGAGAAGCTAAACGATTCCAAAGCGAATTAAGTTGCTTACCTTTGAGCCTCGCTCATTAAAAATAATTTCAACATCTAAGATTTTACCAAATTGCTGCAAAGAAACAGAAATACTTTATAAGCAGAGGTGAAGTGGAACAAGTCAGTAGGTACATTGGTAATCATTTCCCAAGTGAGAATTCTTTTTCTCGTTTTTTTAACGTCATGGATACACATTTTACATCGTTCTATTAAGTGGTATGCTTGACCAAGGGAATATGGCAAAATTATGGCATTCGCCATGAGGTGAGGGATCTTAGGAGGGGACTGGTACGAAAATATGTACTCAAAGGGTCAATTCTATTTTCCTTTCTTCGTGTGTGAATTATTGCTTTCCCAGGCACTGAGCAGCAAAGACCAGAAATGGCTACTCTATACCCTGATCCTCTGAGACCATCCCAATAGCCACTGGGAGAAACAAACCAATGAAGTGGGATTTTGATAATAAAATGTCCAATTGAAGTATGATATTGAGGGGGTCAGGCCCTTAACCTCCATAAAAGCTAGGAGCAGCCAGACCACATGACAGAAGTGAAGGAGAACAGACAAAAGCAAGATTCACTCCATGGACACCCATCATCATCAAGATACCTACATGGTTTTGGTCGGCCCTCAGGCTGAAATGTACTTTCTCAAGAAGATTCTCTATATTTTGAAACACACAGATAGACTTAGCATCGATAAACTCCATAAGAAATGAGAGCAGCTCTCAATGTCTTCAAGTCTAGACACTAAATTTCAGATTACAAATTAATTAGGTTAGTTTTAGAAAGTTTCACTCAGGGTGAGAGAGCCACCAGATAAAATACAGGATGCCCAGCTAAATTTAAATTTCAGATTTTTTTAAGGCTAAGTATGCCCCATGCAACATTTGGGGCATGTGTATAATTAAAAAAAATATTCGCAGTTTATTTGAAATTCAAATTTAACTGGTGCTCTGTATTTTTATCGCTCAATCTTGCAGTCCCTGTGAGGAATGCACATCAAATAATTCTTGATTAACACTTAATAGAAGGCAACAAGGACCCTGAAACCAAAAGCATCCGATAAGCCAAAATCCTTTCCCTCGACCTTAGAATCTTTCCAGATTTCTTAGATTCCATCAAGTAGATTGGATGTTTCTTGAGTACAGCCTGCTCTACAGAAGTGCAGAGTGGCGGGGAGACACAAAAGGATGTGGCATGGCAGACAAGACAGAGGAAGACGGAAAATTTAATGTAGAATGACAGCAAATGCCCTTTTTAGTGAAGCGCATTTTTTAAAAATTAAAAAAAAAAACGAAGGGTCTTTTCGTGAAGGGCATTATTTTTTAATAAAATTAAACAGAACAATGTAAAAAAATTTTTTTTCATCCTCTCTTTCTTTTATCTTGAGCTTTTCCATCATTCCACTTGCTTTTGCATCCTGGATTTTAATTGCATCCCTTATGACTGCAGGAGGGTCTGGGTTTTATTTCTCTCCCTGGCTGGAAGGCATTAAGCACACCTCTGTGTAAGAGAGAACAGAGTGATTAGGGGTAGGATAGAAAGAGTACCAACATCAGGACCCAGAGTTTGGGCCAGAGCAAAGTGCTTCAATCAGAATACTGAGAGTCCCAAGGAGTAAGTGTCAAGAGTCCCCCATTAAAATTCAAAATAAAATTATTTGGAACGTAGAGCTGTTATCCTCTGGAACATACAAAGGAATATATATCTTCCTGGGAAAGAAAAAAATGCACACTCCAATTGAATATAAATAGCTCAAAACCTTGGAATAAAAGTATTTCTGACTTTGCAATAAACTAACGCAATGCTTACGTCACCCTATTCAATAGAAATGTGCCCATTCCTCAGGATATGTATTCGGCCAGGGGGATTACAGACTTGCATTCTCCCTGTTGATTAGTCAAAGGCTTCAGAGGGGAGTAGAAGGATACAAAGAAGCCAAGAAGAGAAGACTCAACCAGGAAAGGAGATAGAAAGTCTACATTTCTAGCATATCCAATAGAAATACCAAGAAATGTGCACGTGACTTACCCTGCAATTTGTAGACACTCAAATATTCTTTTGGTCAAGATAATACTCTTCTACAGAGTATACTCTTCTACAGTTCCCTAGGTTTGAGCAGAGAAAAATCATTAAAAAGAGAAGAGAACTTCCAGATTTGAGAACAGAGGATTTGCCTTTCGAAGGTGAACTGAATTTCATAGTAAAGAATCCCCCAGCTTGGTGCACTCCTAAGAGCAGTAATTTTAATACACCATGCTTAGAATATTCAGTCCACACAGATGCTATCATATTTATTTCAGGCATAAGAACCTAGAAGCATGTGTATTTATGGATAGAGACTTGAAAAAAGACTTCTTGCAAAACCATGAAGCAAATGTCATCTACGGAACATTCTCTAAGAAGTCAACATAAAACTCTTCCTTTAAAATAAGATCAGATTGAGATAGAACCAACTGACAAGCAGCTTTAGGATGACTCATTGCCTAAATGAAACAATGGTACCATATGCCCAGAAATGGCCTGAAATGTTTGCCTCTTTGGCAATTGCCATTGGTCTGATGATTCTCAAAGCTAGCGAAATAAGCTGCAAGAAAAATGCTGAAGCAAGCCCCATTTCTAAGACAGTTGTGTACTATATTTATAGTATCAACAGTTTAATTGGAAAGTTTGGTACTAATGATGTAAACACAGCTGGCACATTTTCAATTTAAATAGACACGACTCATTCGCAGACATAACTAGCATTTGTTTGCTCAACAGCAATGTTCAGTGACGTCTCGGAATCCACACAAGGTGTCTCAATAGCTGTATCAAGAGCAAAATCCGGAAGCTTACAGGCACGCACTTGGGCAAATATGTACCGAGCGTTTTTAGACATGCTCAGATCAAATAATATTTCTCTGGAAAACTGTGAACGGTGTTCAACAGCTACAGCATAAAATATGAAAGTAAAGGTTAGTTCAAAGACTGTGTGTAGAGGCTAAGAAAGGCATCATCCCAGTTTTCTTTGGGTCTGCTTCATGTTTGGAATGCAAAAATGGGAGAAGGCACAATGTCATGTCCAAAGAAATGGTTTCACTACCCATAACACCACAGTAGATGGAACTTCGGCATTAACACTGAAGGCACAGGCATGCCCTGCTCTGTTTTTATTACTGAAAAGGTGGTGTCATGGACTGAATTGTGTCCCCCCAGGATATGTATCAACGTGGTTAGGCCTAGATTCTCAGGATTGTATGATTGTCCACCATTTTGTCATCTGATGTGATTTTCCTGTGTGTTGTAAATCTGACCTCTATGATGTTAATGAGGCAGGATTAGAGGCAGTTATGTTAATGAGGCAGGACTCAATCTACAAGATGAGGTTGTGTCTTAAGTCAATCTCTTTCAAGATATAAAAGACAGAAGCAAGCAGAGAGACAGGGGACCTCACACCACCAAGAAACAAGAGCCAGGAGAATAGCGTGTCCATTGGATTCGGGGTTCCTGAGCTGAGAAGCTCCTCGATCGGGGAAGATTGATGACAAGGACCTTCCCCTAGAGTCAACAGAAAAGAATTTGGACTTTTAGCCTCCTAGACGGTGAGAGAATAAATTTGTTTGTTAAAGCCATCCACTTGGGGTATTTCTGTTACAGCAGCAATAGATAACTAGGACAGGTGGTCAGGAGACCTTCTTTTGCATGGACTAATAGTCACATGGTCTGGTTTCCTGACAATAAGGAAAAACTTGAGTAGATCATTTTCCGTCCAGAGGAGCTGGATTCTGACAGCAGAAACAAGCTGTTATATAAACAAGAACATTGTGCACATTTGAGGGGGAGCAGCTGATTCTCAAAACAACTCTATGAAAGACTGTGTTGTAGCAGAGCTCTGAATGTATTACAACCCACCACTCTACCAGCTGAAAGTTGGAGGTTCAAACCCACCCAGAGGCACCTCGGAAGAATGGCCTGGTGATCTTCTTTAGCCGAAAGGTCACAGACTTGAAAACTCTATGGAGCGGTTCTACCCTGCACACATGGCTTTGCTGTGAGTCGGAATTGAGTCAATAGCAAGTAACAACAACAACGACTCCCTCTCTAAGCCCAGAAACTTGTACATTTAAAATATTTGGTTAAATTAAACATTCTGCTCAGGAGCAAGGCATCGTAATGAATTTGGCAGAAATCCAAACATTCATTCCATAGGCTCATCAAGAATTCAAATGTAGAGAAAGAATGCTCATGGACGAGCCCAAACATGAAGACAGAGCTCAATAAGAACATCATCAGGCCGGCACCAACGTCTCTTCCAGCAAAACATTGGGACTACTGCCCCTGATGACATAAGACATCCACTCATTCATACCCCAAATTGGTGTTTTCAAAAGACTCTGGCTTCTGCTTTGGCTATTGAGCCATACAACTTCTTGCCCAAGACATGTTTCATCTTAAAAGAAAAAAAGAAAGGAAATCTAAGATGAGCTAGAAGGTTTAATGCCCAACACTGGAGCAAATGCTTCCAAAAAAGGAAGGAGTAAAGAATATGGAATGTGTGGTGGAAGAAAGGTACCTGGGGTTGCAACAAAGAGGCATTGGAGCCACAAATCAAAAATAAAATGTGTGACACTTGGAGTAACCATTAGGCGTGTTGGGTTGCAAACTTCATCACAGAATTGAATTATGGATTAAAGAAGTGGTTATGAATGCTGCCAAGTTTTTTTTAAAGGTGGTTGCTTTTCTTCTCCCCCTTTGAAATCCCCATGGCCATGTTTAACAAAAGAGGCAAAGGACAAAGTAGCAAAGATCTTTGTGGGTGTCTTACTCTGGCAATGTCCTTGTAAGCCCTGCCAATATAAGCGGACAAGGGCAGAATGAAGCACCAAAAGGAGAGAAGACACCTCAGGACCAAATGATTTGAGAAACATCTAGTTGGGATCAAAATATACTTTCTTACAGTAACTATGATCTCAAAGAGGAAACCATGCATAATTCTCTAAACTCAAGGGTGAGGAGCCAACCGGAATGCTTACAGATGCTTTTCAACATGATGCACACCACTAAATGTGCCTCACAGCAAGTATGGGTTTGCCACCGCTGATGCCTGGCCAGCAAAAACAGACATTTAGTGTTTAAACTCCATTCCTTTAGATGGTGATTGTAAACCACGGAGGGGCCTCAGACTTAGCACAAGTAGTCAACGAATCATATGTGCCCCAATCATTTTTATGGACTAAATTCCCCTCTACACACACAGATCTTGCATACTTTCTCTTAAATGAACACAGATGCTGTTGGTAATGAACACAATTCATTTTCATGTTATCGAATTTTTGCTGCATTTTCTTCATTGATAAATAAGAAATGCACAGCACATTGCCAGTTGCTAAAAAACGTTGACTTTCAATAAAACGTGGTTCTGAAACCAGTGGATTTTGACCAAGACTTGATCAAGGTAGTGGAATCTTTTTGGTGAGAACTTACTCTGTGCCACCTGTTCTGTTCCTATAAGAATACAGAGGTTCAGTCCCTTCTCTGTGAGTTCTACCTGTGGATATTTTGAATATTTCTCTGTAATGCTCAAGTAACTTTCAAGATAAGTGAGAACACCAGAGAGGCAAGAGGACCCTTTGGGGTGGGAACTGGGCTGTGCTTCATTGTGAGTGACACAGTGAACCAGCACAGAGAGGGTCACTAAGACGACCAAACTCAACGGTAACATCTCCATGACATACTACGTTGAAGACTAAAGACAGGCAGAACAGCAAGATACCTTCCTAACTGACGTGGCAAAAAGAATATAATTCCTCTGGCTGCTCACCATTCAAACCAGGTCTCGCTGCTTTACACACACTTAACCTCGACTTTAACTTTGAATGCTCTGCACTTTTCAAAGTCATCTTTGACCTGAAGTGCCTGAGGGTATCTCCAGCTCTGGAAGAGTTAGAGGGCTTAACTCAAGGTTATTACCAAATGAGGGAGATAAAAGTGCAAACGCTGACCTTTTCCTCTGAAATGTCAGGATTCAAGTCTGGGTATCTTAAATATTAGGACGCTTGGGCTGCCTTTGTGTCAGATGCATACTTGATAAACATTATGCGTGTTAAAGGAGGAAAAGCTACAGGCCCACCCCAAAGCGGCAGAGACCTTGGGTAATGAACTTGAGGTCCTTTTTCACATATAGGGAATTCCACCAGCTCTGTACAGAAAAAAGGCATTGAAGTTGGCCCCCTTCTTATTCCTTTTGTAATATTTGCAGCCATTCACAAGCCATTAGAAGAAGACGCTCTCCAAGCAGCCAAGCTTTGCTGTAAGTCAATGATAAGGATGCAGTTCTTTTCATTGAATCCACAGGCATTTCCCACCAATGTTATGGACAAATGGACAAATAGGGAGCTTACAGACAAATAGACCGACTATATTTGTAAACCACCTTGCATCTGTCAGTTAGCTGGAATATGGTGGCTTGCACGTTGTTATGCTGGAAGCTATGCCACTGGTATTTCAATTATCAGCAGGGTCACCCATGGTGGACAGGTTTCGTCGGAGCTCCCATTCTAAAACAGACTAGGAGGAAGGACCCGGTGATCTAATTCTGAAAAAAATTAGCCAATGAAAACCTTATGGATCACCATAGAACTCTGTGCAATACAGTGCTCAAAGACGAGCCCTTTAAGTTGGAAGGCATTACATCATGCTTGGTAAAGCAGAGGGTTATTGAAAAAGAGGAAGACCCTCAATGAGACGGCTTGACACAGTGGCTGCAACAATGGGATCAAACATATCAATGAGCATGAAGATGGCACAGGACTGCAAGGTTTTGTACTGTTATACGTAAGGTTGTTATACAGAACCAAGATGACTGGTGATGTTTATTTAATCACGACATGGGGTCCCAGACCACAGGATTTGGGATAATCAGTGGGCTTATTTTAACAGTGGGTAATCTGAGAGTTAGGAGCCAACTTGATGGCACTAGCAAGAACAAGAACACATTTACAAAAGGAATAATATCCAAGCCCTGTTGTGGCTTTGTCCTTTGGTGGAACTGAGCCCAAAAGAATGGTAAACACTTCTCAGTGTGAGTCAGGCAGATATGTCCAGAGAAAGAATCAGGCTCCTGATGATACATGAGGAAGCATCCATATCATTCGTTTTCTCTGGGTTGGAGGTAGTTTCTGGCCAGCTCTGCATTTCAGTAAGCACTGGGCAAGGCTGTCATTTGTAGTATATAGAACCACATTAGCACCTCTGAACCCCTGCTCAATGACTCCAGGAGAACGTATGCTGCAGAATTCAAGTCAGACTTAGAAATCTCTAGGGTTTTTGGTTTGTTTGTTTTTGTTCTTTCTTTTCTCTAAATGAGGCTTCATCCAGAACTAGTTATTCTCTGCAACTGCATCTAAAATCTAAATGCACAGTGCCTGGGAAAGAGTGGAGTATGTCAGGAGTCACTCTTCCTGAAAAGCTATCAACTGCAGAAGAGAAATGAACCAAGATGACTTGGAACATATATTTTGGCGGTGACATGGGGTCCCAGACCACTGGATCTGGGATAATTAGCAGGCTTGTTTTGACAGTGGGTAATATGAGAGTTCATTTTCCATTTGATGTTCATGTTACTTATTAAGAAGAGAACCATGTGGCAAGATGGTAACATGGTGAGCATATGCAAAGAAATTTCTACTAAAGTCATAAAGAGATCCTATGGACAGTACACCCACAGGCCAGGGTCTACCATGCTTTTTCTTCCAGAGTAAACATCTCATCTTAGTATTGTAAATAGCAAGAACTTACAGGAGGGAGGGAGGACACTGGGGACTCACAGAGTGGGGACTGCAAGGAAGAAAGGTGGTACTTACGCCAAACATTTGTCGAAGGTCTGGATCCCGGAACCTGAAGGGAATATTTGAGACATGCAGCCTCTTGGGCTGGGACTTGTTTTCCGTGTTTTCGGAAGGTTGTGTCTGGGGCTGGCCATCCGTTGGTGCTGCATCGTCTGTCTGCTAAAAGAACAAGAGCAAAGTAGAGAGGCTCTGAGTGGACCCGAAGGCTCTGTCCCAATGCGATTTTGTTTCCTCTACGTGGTGGGAACACGCAAGACCAAAGGAATAAGGAAAGGATAAGAATTGCTGAAGGAGCCCTGGTGGTGCAACAGTGAAGTGCTTGGCTGCCGACTGAGAGGTAGGCAGTTGGAATTCACCAGCTGCTCTGCAAGAGAAAGACCTGGTGATCTGCTCCTGGAAAGATTACAGCTTAGGAAACCCTATAACGCAGTTCTACTCTGTCCTAGAGGACCACTATGAGTGGGAGTTGACTTGAGGGCACCAAACAACAACAAAGGAACTGCTGAGCCATTCGTTCACTCACTTATTAATTCAACATATTTTCATTGAATATCCACTGTGTGCCCAGCATCGTGCTGGGATTCAGCAGTGAGCCAAGCAGATAAACATTCCTGCCCTCACAGAGTGTACATTCTCATGGAGGAAGACAAACAACAAACAAATATAGTTTGGCAGAGGGAGGTAAACACTACAGAGAAAATTAGAGCAAAGGTGGGGAGTTTTAAAAGGCAATCAGAGAAAACCTCATCAAGAAGGGGGCATTCATCATTAAAGGGGGAGAGTGTATATCCCTTAATCAATGCTGTTCAGAGTATTAAGACTGCATACATAATTACTGAGGCTACACAGATCAAATATCCAGTAAATGCAGTGAAAAAAATAAATTGAAAAGCTTATTTGGTATTCTGTAGTCAAGTAACCAGCTCATTGACTTAATTTTTTCGTTGTTGCCTTCAGCTTTTAGTTTCTGGATCGTGTGCACCTGCGTGGTCTGATATAGCTGACCACGTGGGCTATTTAAATTAGTTAAAATAAAATATTCAGTTTCTTGTTTGCACCAGCCACATTTCCAGTGCTCAATAGTCACATGTGGCTAGTGGCTTCCATACTGGACAGTGCAGATATAGAACATTTTTATCATTGCAGAAAGTTCTATTGGACCTGGTTGTAGATTATGTCACATGATCTCCCTCTCTCAAAAACAAAACAAAACAAAACAAGTTAACATGTTATCACATTGGCTCCCATAAATAGGCAAGGCCTAGGAGAAAAGTCATAGTAACATTTGGTATATTTAGAGCCACTGTCATTTTCTCAGTTCAACACTTTTCACATACCATCAATGCCTCATTTTCTAGATACTCTCCCTGTAATTAGCACACCCTGCCTCTAGGTGGCAGAAGATACCACTTGCCTGAGATCCCTGATTTCTCTGAAACCATGACAGAAAACGTCTGCTGAAGCCCATCAAATTTATGAACAAGGCAGCTTCCTCACCTATTTATAAGCAATTTATAAGCACGTAACTGGAATGAAACTGTCAACACAACAGCCAGGCATAAAATAATAAAGCCATAGAGAAGGAGACGATTTTACAAACTGAAATATAAAGGAAACACCCAAATAACACAGGCATAATTAGAGACTTTCTCATCAACCCTTGTGTTCATTGGCAGATTTCATGTGCATCCACCTCTCCTCCTCCAACACACCCTGAATTGTATTTTCAAGATAAGCTCTCCCAATGACTGGCAAACTATTCTTCAATGCTGTTGGATTTAATAAGAGGGAAGATGTTGGTAGTTTTCTTATATGAAAATAGGGAATAATAATAGAACATACCTTATAAGGCTTTGTGAAGATGAAATGCAATAATGTGTGCCAAGTTGGCAGAATTCTTGGCACATAGTATATATTCAATAAAGAAGCCCTAGTGGTTCAGTGGTTAAGTGCTTGGCTGCTAACTGAAAGGTTGGTGGTTCAAACTCACCCAGAGGCTCTGTGGCAGAAAGACCTGGCGATCTGCTCCTGTAAAGATTACAGCCTAGAAAATCCTATTGGGCAGTTCTACTCTGTCATATGGGGTTGCAATTAGTTGGAATCAACTCAAAGGCACACAAAAACAACAACATATATTCAATAAATGGAAGGTAATGGGTTTTTAGGAGTGGAGGTGATTTAAAAAAAATTGTCGAGACAGAGGAGTAAAAATCCCCTCTAAGGAAGTATAAAGGAAAGACTCATTTATTTACGAAATGCATCTTTACTGAGCAGCTACCTTGTTCTAGACACAAGTTGATCCTCCAAGTCACATACGGTTCTCAGTTTATTGGAAGAGAGAGAAGGAGAAAAAGATAATTTAATATAGACAGTAAGGAGCCCTGGTGGTGCAATGGTTAAGCCCTTGGATGCTAACCAAAAGATCAGCAGTTTAAACCCACCAGCCTCTCCGCAGGGGAAGGATGTGGCAGTCTGCTTCTGTAGATTACAGCCTTGGAAACCCTATGGGGCAGTTCTAGTCTGTCCTATAGGGTAACTATAGGGTTGCTATGAGTTAGAATCGACTGGACGGCACCTACAACAATAAGGCAATACAGACTGTTAAGCGTTGGGCTAACAGTAGATCATAAAGGACTGAGTTAACCTGAATCAGGGACATGTGGCACAGTGGGAGAGTCAGGAAGGCATGCCACCCCGGAGGAAAAAGATGAAGTGAGAGGTGTCTAAGGAAAGAGGTGAAGGAGATAGCTGCTGTGCCAGCAGATGACCAAGCAGGAGCAAAGATGCAGACATGTGAAAGAATGTTCTGGATTCAGAGGAGTATGTGTGGGTTTTGGTGCAACTGGTAGGAGGGGTATGTATGGAGGAGAGGCAAGGGAGTAGATTGCAGAGGTTGGCAGGGGCTGGATCACGAAGACCCTGTGTGCAGAGGGAGGGTATGAATTTCATCCTAACAGCTATGAGCTGCCATCAAAGGGCCATAGCAGGGGCATGACCAGCATATGACACATCAGCTGAGCCATGGTAGGCACATGACAAGTGTCTGCTTAATGACTGATGGGCTCACTGAATGAGTGAATGATGGGAGTATGTGTAAACCAAACCAATGAATGAATGAATGAGTAAACAATCAACTTCACCACCTCCAAGTGGTAGTCGAATCTCAGTATATTAACACTGAGCCCCAAGAGAGCAGGAACTGTGTTTTCCCTTCTAGTAACACGAATAGTCACCACCTGTCAGTTGGTTGTACTGTGGTGACCTGCACGATGCTATGATTCTGGGAGCTATGCCTTTTATATTTCAAATACCAGCTGGGTCAACCAGAGTGGACAGGTTTCAGGAAAGCTTCCAGACAAAAACAGGCTAAGAAGAAAGGTCTAGAAATTTACTTCCGAAATTAGCCAACCCAAACTGTATGAATCACAATAAAATGCTGGAAGATGACCCCCTAGATTGGAAGGCACTACACAATAGCCGCCAACAATGGATCCCAACATACCAATGATCAGGAAGATGGCGCAGGACCCGGCAATGTTCTGCTCTGTTACACAGAAGGTTGCCATGAGTCATAACCAACTTGAAGGCAACTGAGAACAATAAAATGCATTTTCACACATTCCTGAGATGGAAATGACTTTGAATCATGAGAACATCACCTGTCGGAGGAGTGAGTAAGGGCCTTGGAACTCAATCACAAGGCTCTAATTTTGCAGAAGCAGTAACTAAGAGTTGGGAGTAGACCTCAAGCTTCCAGTCCATTTTCTCCCTCCTGTTAGAAGTTGTTATTTAAACACAAATTAAAATGAGCTCCTTCTCAACCCAAGAAGGAGACTTACATTTGGGTTTGTGCACAACTGGTGGATGTTTCAGTTTCATAAACCTAATTAGGAATTACAGAGATTATGATTAAACATATTAAATGATTAATAGCATTATGCCGCTCATGTGAAAATTAAAATTAATCATCTTTAGTCAAACAGGACTTTGGAGAAATCTCTGCATTGTTTCCTTTGATAAAAACATACAACGCTCAATTAATCATTTGGTAGTGTATGAATGCATACAAATGCTCATAAACTGTTCTGTAGGAATACCTGTGTACTAAAAATCATTTTTAAAGAAAAAGAGTAAAATAAAAAATAAAGCCAAAAATGTTTCAGACCATTGCAGGCATATGAAAAGGAAAGAGAAGAGAGGTTTCAGGATCCAGAAGTTTGAAAGAACAACAGGATAAAAAAATATATATATGCATGTGTGTGTTTTTCTTTTTGACTGAGTGTGCTTATTTAAATGTTGTTGTTGTTAGGTGCCATTGAGTCATTTCTGATTCATAGGGACCTTATGTATAACAGAAGAAAACATTGCCCACTCCTGCACCATTCTCACAATCATTGCTACATGTGAGCCCATTGTTGCAGCCACTGTGTCAACCCATCTTGTTGAGGGTTTTCCTCTTTGTTAATGACCCTCTACTTTACCAAGCGTGATGTTCTTCTCCAGGGACTGGTTCCTCCTGATAGCATCTCGAAAGTATGGGAGACAAAGTCTCATCACCTTCGTTTCTAAGGAGCATCCTGGCTGTACTTCTTCCCAGACAGATTTGTTAGTTCGTTGTCAAGTATTGCGATGTAACACCAAGAAAGAGGGTTTCTGAATTGCAAAAACCTGTATGTGAGCCCAGCTCCATCACTTGCTAACCTTAGGACACGCCTTTTCCTGGGTCTCAGTTTACTCATCTGGAAAGGAGGACCATAACAGTGCCAACTTCACTGCATTGTGGTGAGGACCAAATGCATCAGGAGAGGTACAAAGCCACTACTACAGAGCCTACAGCACAATAGAACTGGGTCATCTTCTGGTGGCTCCAGCCATTCCTTGGCTTGGAGCTGCATGACTCCAGCCTCTGCCTCCGTCTTCACATGGCCTTCTCCCCTGTGTGTCTGAGACTCAAATCTCTCTTCCTTTCTCTTATAAGGACATCTGCCATGGGATTGCAGCCCTGGTGGCCAAGTGGTTAACAGTCACAGTTGATAACCAAAAGGTCAGCAGCGTGAATTCACCAGCCACTCCTTGGAAACCGTATGGGGGCAGTTCTACTCTGTCCTATAGAGTCATTATGAGTCAGAATTGACTGGACGGCAACGGCTTTTTGGCCA